CTTGTACCGCAAAGGAAACTATAAAATTGAAAGATCTAGCAATCAGTTGGACTGCTGGTACCCAGAGCTGAACGCATGATAATTTACATAAATAATAAAGATGTATGCTTTGTCATTTGCTTATGGATAATTCAATACGTAACATTTGACATAGGCATGACTTTTCTACTGGTAATACCCATTTTTGTCAGGAATCCTATATTTCAGTTGTTAGAGGCTCTACATGTTGTGGCTTTTGAACCCTTGGCCAGCTTTTTCAATAATTGAGGAAGAAGTCTATCTATTCGTCAACTCCACTGCGACAAAAGCTGCTCACTCCTAGCCAAGGTGAAAGATTTAGAATAAGGGTTTACAAAATATGCCACAGTTACATAGCTAACACAATGGTGGTTTACCAAATACTAGTATGCCACACTTGGGTAGGTAAGACAATGCTGGTTTACAAAATATGTTATCTGTAAGCAACTACACTTAGCATTTGAATGAAACTGTAGAATTATACTCTGGATATGAATACAAATGTGACAGGTTTACAATTAGTATAAAGACGTGTGGATTTACTAAAATAAACAGAACAATATAAATATTTCACAGGTGAGAGTTGTGGACAAATCTCTCCTTCGTGACAGGTCTCTACCTGGTTTAATTGTTTGTTACCATACTTGGTTGTCCTTTGGGGAAATGCCGTTTCTGTTGGCTTTACTTTTCTTTTCAATGTATATTGACAACCTCAGCATTTTTTTTTTCATCTAAACTTCCATCACAACTTCCAAGACCATCTGTCTACTTATGGCCCGACACTCCACAGGATCAACACACTACTGTAAAATGACCAATTTTCACTGGGTTTAAATTTCACTGATTTATCATTTCAGGCATATTCAGTAGGTTTTAAATTCACGGTTTTGTCATTTAGATAATGTGTTCTATGCTAAATTTTACATATTCACTGTGTTTTAATTTAGCGCATTTTTCCAATCAGCGAAATAAGCTAAATTAAAACCCAGTGAATAATTACCCCCCTTACAGTAT